CGTGATGGCATATGGCGTTTGTGCATGCGGTCATGTGCGCTCGCTCGTCCCATCTCCGGACCACCACCTCCCAGCTTGCTCCGCGCATCCGCGGCTGCCGGCCGGCAGCCCGGCCGGGCGCGGCTCTCTCGAGATATTCGAGCGCCCCTAGCTACGACCTAAACGCGCGCGCGCGGGGCCACCACAGACGCACGCATGCGCCTGGAGTGTCCACGCAGCATCATGGAGATCGAGAGGCGGAGTGAGGGGGCCGCCGCCGGGCCGGGCGCTGCCCGTCGCACGTTGCGCCGTGCAGCCGGCGCGACCGCCGAGGCGGGCGCATGTGCGTGCATGCTGCTGCGTCGTTCCACAATCCCCACGCCTCGCCATGTTCCGCGCACTCCATTGGCCCTTGCATTGGCCGTCGACGCAGTGGTGGAGGACGACGAGCGGCAGCCGTGCGCGCTCGTTAAAACTACCTCAGCAATTTTTAAAAAAAAAAACTGCCTCAGCACAGCACAGCACAGTGAAATGATGGTTGGCGCGTAAAAATGCTGCCTCTCCTCCATCATCCCTTTGGACCAGACAGAGAGCGCAACATGTGGGCGTCCTCACAAGTCTGGCCCAGTTGTGCTAGAATTATCTGGCCGTAGTAAGCCCAGTTCCCATCCAGACCAGTTATTAAGTTATTGGGCCTGTACATTATGGGCTTCTACCTCTAAAAAAACACATTATGGGCTTCATGTCATTCTGATAGATTACCTCTGTTCTTTTTTCTTTTTTTTTTTTTGATCGGAGATTACCTCTGTTCTAAGCTAAGGCAGCCTGGACCCTTCTAAAAAAACACTAAGAACTGGGATACCGGTCGGTTTATGGCACCTTGGCCGGCTTGCGGCGGATACTTTGGGATGTTGGTGCCGTACGTGCCGGACAAATTGATCCAAGAAGATGTGTCTGCTACCTGTGGATTCTCAATCTCATCGAACGTCTGCTTATTTATGACGTGCATGATGATATTTGGTTTTGTGTTACCACAAACTGTCGGTGAGATTACCTAAGTTCAACTCTGGCATATGCCTGGGGACTTGGTGCAATGAAAACCCGGAGAAGATGCCCGCCTTACATATAGTCACCCTGTTCGCTTGAGCTAGCTTTAATTCCACCTAACATGCAGAAAGCGGGCAAAAATTGAGTATTAGTTATCTTTAATAACTGACACGGATAGTTCTTCAAAATGCTTAATATCCATCCACCTCAAAAGCAAAAATAGAGTAGCTCTTTCTGGAATAGAATTCCATTGTTAACCAATGGACGCAGCTGAATAGCTGGCCACCAGGTTTTGCACAGCACACCAATAGGCACGCCACTAATAATTTTTCTACTTGACTCTGTCCACTAGTGTGTATCCTTTCTTATAAATATCTCCGAAACTGTCTTTTTCCCTCGGATCAAGTGTTGCTAACCTAACTACTGACGCATTACATACATCATGCAGCATGTATCAATGTCAAAATAATGTCAGTTGATACATACACCTATAGTAATAAAAAAACGCTCGTTTTCTGCTAAAAAAAATTGGGATCTAAAGCGGCATAGTTTCGCAGCATATGCCTGCCCCCAAAATACAAATAAGACTTCACAGCTAGAGACGAGGACGACAAGAAGGCACTAACTGTTGGACTCTCTGTCTCTCTCTTCCCTCAACAGAGATATTTTGACCTCATCGACAACGTAACCTTGGTTAACTAGGACGACGACGCACCTGCATACCGTATGTATATTAGATGCACATGTATTTATATATGCTATATATATGTACTATATGTTATCTCTGTTCCAGGACATGGAAACAGACCTGTAAAGTTGAATGCAACTCCGATGGAACAAGCTGAAACATATGCATTCTAGAAGCTATTATGTCTAAGGGAGTTCTTGCGAGGACATGATGCAGGCGAAGTAACCAAAGATCTATCAACAATATAGCTGTACAGGACACTATGTACAGCTTGCTGGATAAATTATTTTAAGAACAGACACGGTTCTGCCCGTGATTGTTTTGTTAGTTTGTCTACTCAGGAAAGATTCACTCGGCTTGTCTGAAATTTTCAGTCCAATGGCAGCTCAAAAAAGTCCTAGTTTAAGTGTACTATCAGACTGTTAATTTAGTACTAACTTGTTTTGGATCTTTTTCTTGCAAGTACATGTTTGCAGGACAGGAGGTCATCGTTGTCTTCGTCACTATAGTACTATTGGATAAGTGTTCCTTTCTACTTATCTGCAAATTAATACTGATATTCTGAAGCTGCTGCCCTGGTTCTGAATGTAGGGCAGCATTATGCCGGACTACCGGATGCTCTGGTATCAGCTGTTTATTCCTATGCATTTTAACTTCCCGGTTACATGCATGCATCTACCACAGAAGGCACAGAGAAATCTTTTCTCTTTTATTTATTTTACTTTGTATGGGGAAAACAAATAAATTAAACAGGACAGTCCGTCAGCAAACGAGAGTCCCTGAACATAATCAAAAGATGCTATTCAGAAAGAGCATGACTCAAGGAACCAGATTAAGTAAAAAGGAGCAAATCAATTCCTTTTAAGATTGTTAGTGAATGCTAACCTGAAATTTTAAAGGTCTTACATATTAAACGAGCTGCTTGTTAAAGGTGTGATTTAGGAGTAGCATTATAACAAAAGGTAGCCTTTGCAGAGGATGCATACTTCTTAGTTCTCACCCTTGTAGACTTGTAGTTATTGCAGAAATTCTTGTCTATATTGATTACCCATACGGAATAGTAACAAAAACATAGGGCACCATGCAAGAACAGCTGCTAATACTGCTGATTCCAGAACAGAATGAAACATGGTACTTCATTTTCACCCAGATTCTAGACCTCATTGATCCCAACACAGATGCAAAAAGCGTACTGCAACCAAACCGAAGAAGGCAGTGCACCACAGCTGTGGCTGGAGCTCCTACCCTAGCTATTCCAACTTCCAACGGCTGAGCCACAGGTGATACAACCCATGGCAGTTGTGCACAGCCTTCTGCGTGTCTCACCTATGCAGACAGGAACAAAAGCACATAACACGGTGACACAACCAAAGCTCTCCTCCTCTTGTTGTCTCTTGTTCACTCCAGCCACCCTGTGCTAGTAGTATAAATACCCGGCAACGAAACCGCCCGCATGTCTCGTCGCCGTGTGAACTGAAGAAAGCACGAGAGCTAGCTCCATCAATGGCGCCTGCCAGCAGCACAGAGCATGCACACTTAAAGCACATCACGTTGCACCAGTTCCTGAAGCCCGCCGTGATGTGGGGCTGGCCAGCGACGGCGGGAGCTATCAATCGCCACGTGCCCGAGGACGTCGCGGAGGACGACGACGCGCTCGGCGGGGCGTGGCCGCCGCGCTCGTACACGTGCGCGTTCTGCCGCCGCGAGTTCAAGTCCGCGCAGGCACTGGGCGGGCACATGAACGTGCACCGCCGGGACCGCGCCAGGATGCGCAGCGGCCACCATGGCGGCAGCGCCGCGGCTCAGCTGCAGCTCGGAGGCGCCGCGACGTCGCCGGCCACGGACGAGATGCCCCACGCCACCACGGCCGCGGCGAAGTACGCGGTGCTGTACCCGATACTGAACTCCAATGCCGCCGGCGCGGTCCTCATTCCCAGCGGCGACGTGATGCTCTCCGGGCCGGTGGCGCTGGCGCCCGCGCACGACCGGTGCCACGTGAGCGACGATGACGAGGAGGAGGAGGAAGACAAGGGCGTCGACCTGGAGCTGCGCCTCTGGTGGCCGTGATCGAAACATCATGGGGAGCTGATTTTTTTTGGTTGTCTTCGTTGACGATGTGTGATTTTTTTTGCTGTCTCTTTCATAATTATTTGTCATCGAATAATTAATGGCATGGGTTTTGCGAGTTGCCATTGATTGGAAAAGAATGCCCGGCGTTTTAGCACAGGGGATAAGAGAAGGACAAACAGGCCTCCGAATGGCGGAGACAAGAGGAAAGAGAGGCTGGAGTTCAAATACCAGTCAAACATAAAAAGGCCCTGGTTGCCTCGATTTAATCAGATATATTTATTTACAATAATTAATATAGTCATCAACAGGCTGGTGTGGTTGCATAGATTTCCGACAGTTTTGAGGCCGGCTGCCAACTATGAAGTCTAGAAGCCCAGCGCATCTTGAATTGTTTAACATTCATGTAACTTACAAACGGTATTTATATGTAATAGCTGTATATTTTTATTTCAATTTCACTTCGTGGTGTCATGGCGGCAGACCCTTCGTGACTCAAGTAACCTCCTATTTTGTCTTAAGTTTTCAGGAACCTCGATGGTAGCTGGATATTTCATTTCATGGAAAAAACTAACAAGTCAGTTTCGATACGTATGATGAATTGATGATGTAAACGAAACTGTTATTTGACAATTTTTCAGGAGGAGTTTCAGTAGTATTCTCTAATCTCTAGCACCCTGTTGTTTTAGGTCATAGAAACGCGTCTGTATGTTTAAACTTTCTTTTAATACAATGATACGCAAGCAAAATTTTGCGTATTCGAGAAAAAAAAAATCTCTAGCACCCTCCTGACTCTGCACCCACAAACTCATTTCGGGTCAAATAGGGCACCACACAAGACACAACACGAAGCTGCAAGGCGATAGACATCTGGAATCACGAAGCGTTTAGCGTTAGCAAACAAATTGAAAGTACATTGACTGCATCAAGCTAATCCATACAAGTCCTTTGATTCCTCTGCTTATCACAGAACTACGACTTCAACACGACGGCTAAAAATTTTAAAGAAAATCGCACTAGTAGAAAAAGATACTAGTTGCTAATGCAATTCGTTTCCTTGCTACAATTGGTTAAAGATACCATCCAGCTTCATCTCTCCAGTTTGCATGCACACTTCTTGATCTGAAACTCAGCAAATTTTGAAAATTCTAACGGTGCATTCCGTCTCACCTGATGAAACTGCAACCTTATTGCTGCACCTTTTTTTTCTGGATGATGATCATGTAGCACTTTCACCTTGCACAAAACCATGTTCGTTCAAGTTTTCCACCACATGCTCATCATCGCTCAATGAGGAAATCCCAATCTGCAAGTTCATTTGAATGAGTATCCAATTAGTTGACATCAAAAGTTTTAAAAGATACATGCATCCCTTTAAATCGATTTGATTTCTAACAGAATCCCACACGAAAATATTTACAACAGAACTGCAGAATTTACTGAGCAGCTGTTTTTTAATCAAATGAGCAACTTGTAAATTAGTGTGTAGAGTTGAGACTCGCGAGCAAAAATCATAACTCAAATACTATGTGTTCAGGGAGTTGAATTATATAAATAGAAGTTCAGATAATAGAAAACTGAAAAGGTACAAGTTCTTAGGATGGTTCTACTTCTGTTTTGTCTTTCAGAGCCTCAATTTCCCCATTGCCAGTGACGCGTTTCAACCGCGAGGCAGCTTTGTCAATCGCCAAGTTCAGTTGGCTTATCTTGTCGCCCAGAGTTTGACGAGTTTTCTGGATGCACTCAGCATATTAGCTATCAAACTTACCTGTCAAACAAAAAAAAGTAAGTACATTTGGGTCCATACCTCTAAACCTTCATCATAATATTGACCCTGCCGTCTTGGCACCCTCTGGAGGCCAGTTTCATCAGATTCACTATCTTGTCCATTTTCATCCAACAAAGAATCCAATGTTCTGCTGATCTGCTCAAGTATGTTGAGCAGTTAGCAACCACTTTTCAAATTAGTAGTTATATGACAAGAAAATCTGGAAAAAATAGCATCTAGAGCAAGATTAGTGTAGACCAACACAGATATTTCTTTCGTCAGTTATCAACTATTAGTAAGTAGCTCATATGCACAATATTTTAGTTAGAAATCTGCCATGGTGAATTAGAAGCATATATTTGAGTTTGTCGAGATCAGAAATTGAGAAACTTTCTTTCTTCCTTCAGGAAGACATTGCATTATAGGTTTCTGTTGGCTACTTCGAGCATTGCTAAGCAAATATGGTGATTCTACAGGCATCTTTTACAGGGATTTTCTGTACATGCACCAGTGAAAAATACTTGAAGATTGGGTAATACCTGAGGAGCAAAGACATATCCAAGTGTTCCAAAGATTGCTCCCCCTATAAGAAACCCAGCCAAAAATCCTCCCCCACCTTTAGAATCTTCACTGTATAACAGGATAGTTCCACAAATAGTATAAGCATGAAGCTGAAAATGTATTGCACACTATATGTGGATTTGGATGGACCTGATCTAAAGACAAAGTGAAAAGGAGGGAAAAGGTCATACAGGAAGATGCTTTCAATACTTCTGCCAAAATGTTACAAAGTAATTAATCAGACCTAGTTGAAAGTGAATGTTGAACCAATTCAAGATGTTCTAATGTTATACCAGGATCCAAGCTAGCTATCTTCAAGATTGCTTACATTTTAGCCTGACATGAACTGTTCAATTAGAATGAAACTTCAATTGCTAGTTGGTGTTCAATTGAAATGTGACTAGAGTAAAAATTGAGCATTGATAGTCACACTTGAAATCAACTCACATGTAGTTTCAGCTTAAAAGACAACTGAACTGGGCACTGTGCACTCTTGCCAGATCAAATAATGTTTGATTGTTGTGCAAGTAGATGGAAATGAACACTTAAAGCCATCAAATCTAAACAGACCAGGCTTAATTCCAGCTAAAAAAAAGATAACTGGATTGGGAACTCTTGTGCACTCTGTAACACTGTAACACAAAATGTTGTATCTAAAGACGGAAATTAAGGGTAACTCTGTCGCCTCTGTGCCTATGCCTACATTCTGTCTACAAGCATATATGAAGAGAAAAATGCCATGGATTAAAAACACAACCTCTGTGCTCTGCAGATGGTTAACTTTCTACAATAATTTGTACTCTCGGAACTTGAAGGAACTGCAAGATGTAAACGATTTCTGTTTGACTTTAGCTTGTTGTTCCTGCAGACGAATGTATTTGTATGCGCCGTACCTTGGACAAAACACGACAAAAGGAATGAAAAGTTAAAGACAATAAGAGCATGCAACAAATGCACCACGGATTCAATACAACTCACAAACCAATATCTAGCAACAAGCTCCACCTTGTCGCTAGGCAAACAAACACAACATCTTGAATTATTTCGTTCAGAATGGGTCAAATTATCACTTCATATTACTTACACTGATAGTTTTCTGGAAAGTTCCCCAAAAACAAATAGCGATTCGCTAACCTTCTATATATAACATATTTTGGCACTTTAGGGCCTGTTTGGATACACATGGCTAGTAGATACTAGTTGGGGCTAAAAATTAGCTCAAATTAGGTTGGCTAGCAAGTTGGCTAACAACTAGTTAAATACTTAGACTAAAAAAATAGTCCACTTATTAGCCCTCCTATTTGGATACACTAGAGCTAATTTTGGCTAACTTTTAGCTAGCTAGCAATTAGCCTTGTATCCAAACAGGCCCAAGTAGCACACGCTTCAATCAATTGCACTTAATTTCTTAACAGACCACGAAAGAAAAATCCCCCCACCCCTTTCCCTCCCTGACTCCCTCCCCCCTTCACAATACTTATTCGCTGTGCATCTGTTCCTCACCAGTGAGGACTGCCGATAAAATACAACACAGAACTAGCAAGATAGCTACTTGAACCACTAGATCCTTAGCAGAGTGCGATTTAGTGATTCCTTAGACTGTGGGCAGTGGAGATGACCAAATATGCCTCCACGTGTATGCAATCTGAGCAAGATATGAGCTGCTGAGACTAGGGGAACTCACCAGAGACAGAGAGGGCGGCGGAGGGAGCGGCCATGGCTGCCGTTGGGTTCGGCGAAAGGGAAGCTGAAGCTTTGCCGAGGGAGACGATGAAATCGGCAGCCTATCCTGCTGCCCGCCGGCTTCAAGCTGCGTACGCCGTACGTGGCCTGGCCTCCTTCAGTCCTTTCGTCAGGGCCCAAAAGGCCTCTCCGTTACTTCTCCGCGCCATGGGAACGGTTGTTGGGCCGGGTCTGTGAAGTTGGTTGCTCTAATTTAGGCCTGGTAAGGTGTTTGCTTACTCGTTGCTCAAAAAAATAAAAGGTGTTTGCTTACTCATTAGGCCACTCATCCCTTGCTCTGTTTTAGATTTGTTCGGTGTTAGTTTGGGCACATTTAAGTAAATTGCAACAATATTTCTAACATTAAACAAATGTACTATAAAAATATATTCAATGATGAAATTAATGGAACTAAGTTACATATGATCCAATGAGTATGAAATTTCTACTGTAGTTCAAGCATACAATAATTAGCCCACCATAAAAATTTCACCACAATTGGACCATAGAAGCTGCAGCTATAAATTATTCTAATTAATTACAGAAAAGTATAGATCTAAAGCTACAGCAAAAACTTTGTGCTAAAGAATACTATATTATATATTTACCGTGTAGACCTACTCATGTGGAGTTCAACAAAATTGAATTTTCTATTTTATGTTTTTTATGATTTACTATGATTTTTCAAAGATTCAGCGAAAATAAATAAAAAAGAAAAAGGCAAAACCACCGTCACTATAGCAAAACCATCATCCAAAACCGCCTGGGGGGTTATTTGACCGGTTTTAGAAAGTTTAGGGGGTAGAAAATCCGGTTTTATAGTTTGGGGTTGAAGTAGTCCACCATGAATATATGAGGGGGTTATGTAGACTTTTTCCTTACTTTTTTATAGACTTAGTCAAATTCAAAGAACTTAACTTATGATAAAACCAAAACCCTTTATATTTCGAAATTGAGGGAGTGCAAGTTTGTAATAAACATGTTAAGAACATCGGAATCAGATGGAGAACTTGAAGATGGGGAATATTTATTCTTTGAGTGTCATTATGTCCATTTTCTGTGGCAAGCAAGTAGTTTACATTTGTTTCATAGTTGGTCTAAAATGGGAGGCAACAAACATAATTACCTATATTGGCTGGTGATGCTTCTCTTTGTTGGGCAATTTGACCACAAGGAACAAAATCGATTTTGACAATGGTCACCTAAAAACATTTTTGTGGGTTGTCTTTAGGGGGATACACTAGCTTCGGCTCTGGGCTCAATTACATCGCTCGAATGATTGCAAAGATCAGATTCGCGAGGCGTGCAAATTACTTGAAATAAGTGTCATATAGTTTTTTTTTGCATATAATGAATGGTCTTTTGTGTACCCTTTTAGTCTCTAGTTTAGAACTTGTAATAAGTTTAAACATTGGGTGTGTATGGACTATTTTCCATTATATAAAAAGGTAGAATCCCTATCAACTAAGGGGCGAATTGGGATCCATTCAATAAGGCCCTGTTTGGCAGAGCTTCCAGAGCTAATTGTCTGTTGAATCCAGCAGGAGCTCTACCAAACAGTTTTTCGGAGAGAAGTAGTTTTCTGTTGATTTCGTGAAGTGGTTCTCTGAAATGAACTAAAAGACTAAATAATCAAAGAAAATCACTTTTAGCCATAAAATCACTTCTCTCACGAAATCAGATTTCATATAGAATCAGAATCAGATCGAGCTTTACCTAAAAAAACTCCGTAAGGATCTGAGCAAATTCTTCTCGTATAATAAAGTTGATCCTTATTGGTAGATTCTCCGGTGATGGCGATGCTACCGTTCACAGCGCACACCATCGTTGTCAGGGGCCAAGCGTTGAACGTACGTGCGCCCCAGGGCGCCGGCCGGGCCATACGCACGGTGTACACTGGTGGCAGCCCGGGTGAGGTGGGGACCGGGCGCGAGCGGTGCCGGTGCGCCATGCATGGCACGCGAGCGGCTGAGGGAGCACACAGTAGGGTGTAGGGAGGGAGCCCTACGGCTGCCTCTGCAACTGCAAGCGTCTCCATCGACCGACGCCCGGCGCGTACGGCACCGCGCCTGCTCCGGTGTCCGGGCTGCCACGCCCACGCCATCGGGGCTCCCCTTTCCATGCGCGGCTGCCCGGCCCGGCCGGCGGGCGCGCCGCGCAGCGCAGGGCCGCGCGGTGTCGCGACGCGCGCCGCGCCCGCGCGCATTATTGGCGGTGCACGGCCGGGCCATTAGCTTGCTGCGGATGCGTACGTGCGTGGCAGCTCAGCCACTTGGAGAGAATCTCCGACGTACGTCCTGCGCCTGCTGCCTGGTCGCCGGCCGGCCGGCCGGACTGCTGACCCGATCCATCTCGTCGGGTCAACGCCGTCACCAATGCATACAAGGCAAAAGCTGCGCCTGGTATCGGGCTCCTCGTGCATATGCAGGGGCCGTCTCAATCGCATTATGTTACGTGCATTGCTCGCCAACTTGCTGGTCACTGTACTAGCTTATTAGTGCTAGAACGCACCACATGACGGGGAGGACGGAATTAGGAACCACTACGCCATGCTCCCGGCGAGAACATGCACGTACGAGGTGGTGTGCTTTTGATTCGACGACTGTCTAGTTACCCGTGACGCGGTCCACATGGCACCATCCTTTGCACTGGCCGCTGCCCGGCAGCTCTGCTTCGACGCAGGGAGGCACCGGCGGCGTGAGCGCGCTGGGTTTTGACGTTTATTTTGTACCGCTCTGCAGACTGCACTGCATGCCGACCCTTGGATTTGGATACACCGAGCGAGCTGGGCCTTTCTTTCTCTGCACATGCACATCACAGATAATTTGCACCTCCTGCTCCTGCTTGGCCAGGCAATGGCGTGTAATTAAGCAGGTTTAATTGGCGACTGCTGGCCGGTTAAAGCTGCTCAAGCACAAGGATCGTGTACTACAATATGTATGGTTACTGTTTGGACAAGTACGTACATCGAAGAAATTAATGTTACTGTATTCGATCGATCATGTACTACAATATGATAGGACTACATTCTTTTTTTTTGTCGGCAGATATGGTCGAGGATCAGGATCCATGCATGTTAATTACTGTACGTTCTATAATTTGGGAATGAAGTACCGTAAGCAAGTACATAAAGGTGTGAGATAAAAAAAAAGTACATAAAGGTGCACATATACCGAGAGTTGAAGCCTTCTGAGGCCCGTCTCATTGGAGATTTCATGGCCCTGTTATCAATATATCCATATTTTGGAAATAGTGCAGAAGAGTTTTATCCCCATAAAATTCTCTCTACTCCCATAAAACTCTTATCATATCTCTCTTCATCAATACGGTGCCACGTTAGCCTATTTAATGTCCATGAAACTCTGATGAAACCCCACTAAAACTGGCCTAATGTAAAAATGGCTAGAGTAACTGCTTGGAGCTTAGGGCGTGCCCCACGCTACAGGCTGCCTAGCCATAGCGTCCATGCTGTGTCCAAATCCCCAGCGTGTCAGGTAGCTTGCAGGAGCAGCGGAGGCCTCGTGTGACAGTGCAGAAGCACTCGATGCTGTGTGCGTTGTGGACTTAGACTGACCACAGCGTTGTCGTTGCTCGAAAAAAAATTCAGCCCGTAAGTTCCGATGCCTCAACTCCAGATATTTTCACAGCGTGGGCATCGACGATTCACTGTGCCTGGACCTCACCCACAGAACCAGCCTCTTCTTTCTCTATCCTTTCACGCGCCAGGGATTTTTTCCCTTCGTCTCCGCCCAAAGCCTCCCCGATCGATCTCTCCATCCCCGCTAAATTAGGCTGCAGAAACCACAAAAATCGATCTCTCCATCCCCAAATCAAAGCTCTCCTCAAAATCGTGGTTCCATAGCACTTATCTTTGGAGGATCTGGTCGCCACTTCTCGTTCAAGGTTCAAGGCATCTCAGCACCGTGAGATGGTGTCAGCAGCCATCGCCGTCGATCCGGCCGCCCGCCACGCTGCAGGGGCCGGCATCAGCCTCACGGCGGCGGCGCCTCCAGCCATGCCGCGGGGCTGCCTCCAGCACGCCGCGGGGGTCGCGGGCAGGCACACGACCGGGCGCATCCAGCCAAGGGGCTGCCTCCAGCATGCCGTGGGGGTCGCGGGCAGGCACACGACGGGGCGCATCCAGCCACACCGCGGCGACCGCCGTAAGGCACACCGCAAGGGCCGGCCCCCATCAATCGCGCCGGCGGCGGCCAGCCAAGTCGCGGGGATTGACGGCCCCAGCTTTGGACGCTGCTTCGCCTTGACCCGCAGTCAACCGAGCCTAGCTCCAGGTGCGTGCTAGCTCCATCAACTAATCCTTTTCTTGCTGCTGTGTAACTATTTTTTTTCTTTATTGCCATGCTATCTATAATTCTTGTGATATTGGAAATATGAAGTGCACAAGCATTGGTGGTACATCTAATGTCGAATACAATTAGAATTTTTTTGCGATGGATGATGCTGGAAGTAAACATTACAACTAGAATTTTTTGCGATGGATGATGCTGGAAGTTTTGAATCAAATATGAAGTAAACATTACAACTAGAAATTACACACATGAGAATTTAATTTATTACACACATGATAAGTTGGTACATCTAATGTCGAATGATGCATGATAATACAAACATTACAAGTAGAAATTACATAATATACTAAGCTTGATTTTGTCCAAATCGCTGCCATATATGCTCAACTAAGTCCTCTTTTAGCTGACGATGCATATCTCGGTTTCTAATGTCTTCTTCTACCTCCAGTAGTGTTGAAAATCCATGAATAGGCCCGTGTCCAAATCCAGCCAATGTGGATGAAGAGCTAGGCTGGTCATATTCACTCTCATAGTTGTCGTCATAGCGAACTCTAAAAGTATCCCTCTCATCCTCCACAATCATGTTATGCAGTATAATACATGCATACATGATTTCAGCAAGTGAGTTCATTTGCCACATACGTGATGGGTTGCGTATAATAGCAAAGCGAGCTTGCAAAACACCA